CTTTATTCTTAAATGGCTTATAGTTTTTTTCTTCTGGCTCTTAAAGATAAGCGGTAAATGCATGTGCCTCTAGTGCCAAAGGCCTTTTTAATGATATTTTTGTAATCATTATGTAATAAACGTGTATGTATTTATATATATATATATAGATAGATGACCTAAAAGCATTAGTTTTGCTCACAGAACTTTTGCTCAGCTAAAATTATTGGAAAGAAAGAGGGAAAAAGGTTTTATTCATTATTAATGAGTAAATATTTGGCATAAGTCTATGCATAAAAAATAATTTCATATGCTTAGCTATAAAATTCTTTTCATAGGATAATATTTTTAGTTTGCAGTGTATGTATATGTAAATAAGCTATTGATACTATATGTAAGTGAGCTGAGCTGCATATACTTTGAAATTTGCTACATATTCTATCTTGAAAGGTTCATGTGTGATATTTATATAGTTTCAATTAATTATTACATTTCACATGCAATTTTTATCCAGTATATGTCTTTTATATATACTTTTATTTTTATTTTTGTAGGGTAAAGGCAAAGCAAGTATTTTAGCATCAGGCTGTTATTTGAAAAAAAAAAAAAAAAAAAAAAAAAAAAATCCAAATTCTGCACTTCTAATATTTGCTAAATGTAAGTATTGAGGAATTTTGATATGCTTTGCACTAACTTTCATTTTAAGAGGGCAGATTATATTAAAATGAGCCATTTTACAACAGTGAATGTATTTGGCCTCATGTGGCTAAAATTCATCTTCTCAGGCTGCTTTCGACTATTGTACCCACAGATGATGCATGGTCATTTAGCTAATTTCTGTAGAATTGGAATTGCATTGATTTGAATGTCACCTACATACTAGCAAATATTTCGAGAGAATAAGATGGTTTGTAATATGTGTGATGCCTTTATATGATCTAAATCTAAAGCATGACACTAATCATATATATGCATGTATATACAGTGAACATAGATTTTTTTTTTTTTTTTTTTTTTTTTTTTAAACTTGTAAAGTGATGGAAAAATTGCTTCAAGGTGAAATTCAAAAGATACACTTCCAGCCAGACTATAGCGATCATGAAATCAAGAACAAACATCTTTACAATAACAATAGTTTATTATGAACAACAATAGTTTATTATGAAGGGATGAATACTTGTTTTCATAAGGAAAAGACAGACTAATTCTCCATATAGTTTGTTCTTTTTACATTTTTATGTACATTATTTATTACATTTTTCATTAAGAAGCAACGCACAGATAGACTATCCTATTTTATATTTGCATCAATATAATATTTACATATTCCTATATGTATTTATACTGCATTTTTACAGAAACTAAAAGCAAAAGACCTCTATGTGAATAAAATTACTAGGAATTACTTATTTTTGAAAGAAGAAAAAAATTTTCTGGCGATATTTTTTAATTGGAAAGATAAACTTTCTAGTATGGCTCATTGGTATTTGACTTGTCCTAATAGATAGGTAATGGATGTATTCTTAATAAAGAAATTTATTTTCAGGGAATAGAAGACATGGAATCTCTTGGACCAGCTCAGAATAAACAGCCCATTATAGTGTGTATTACAAGTTCATTCTATATTAAAGCAGTAAATCACTTAAAAGCATGCCCAAATCATGCCATGAAGGCATTTGACATTCTATTTAAAACTAATTTTGTATTTAGCGTTCAATATGCACATACATCAACAAATTTTTATAATTTTGTGGCAAGCCTTTTGTATAATGTCAGCACTCCTAGAGCTTGTGTGGACTCTTTAAATACATGTTCGAGTCTGAATTTATTGCATTTTGTACATGCATTACATTTCATATTTTTAATGTCATTTTAGTGTCATATTTTCCATTTTTATATATGTATATATATGTACATATATTTCCTAATAAAGAGTTTTTCATGCAATGCTTGTTTTCACTTATATTTAAAATACTTTGTTCATTGAAATTATTATAATTCTGCAGTTATGGTAATGATTCCTATTCGGATTTAATCAATAAATGAAATACATAATAATTTTCAGCAGAATTATGAAAAATGAATTTTTTAGCTTACACATGTGAGCTATAATCCATATTATTTCACTTTAAAATTTACTTTATTTTCCCAAATGAGACTTGGAATTAGCATATATAAAAATAAGTTATAGTCTAAAAGTATATGTAAGCATTTATTCACCTGTAATGATTAATGTATAGGAATTTGTATGCATATAACTTCTCAAAAATAGAAAGCGTAACAAGCTAACTGAAGATTTTAGACTTTATTCATAATTTGGGGTAATAATTAATTTTAAGCTCTTCATAATTATGTAATAAGAAATAGAAACATTTCTTTTGCAATATTTTGTGCAATATATGAAGCTAAAAACAATAGCATGAGAGTATTTTATGGTTACTTATTTTCTGAATCTCATACATTAAAAATAAAGCTGAATAGTTTTCATGTAAGGGAAATTAAATTCGCATTTGTTTCTTACTTCAATGTACGAGTATATTAAAATTTATTCGATTTTTTATGCATATTATGCTCAAGTAGACAAACTACTAGTAACATCAATTCACAAATTGTATTAATATAGTCACTTATAAGTAGCATTTTAAGAAGTTAAATCTATCAGATTATGATACAGGTTTACTGACACATATATATATATATATATATATATGATCAGCTGTTCTAACACATTCAAATTTTCATTATAAAATTTATCAAGAACTATTTTTAATAAATTACTTTTCCAACTAGAATGATTATTTAATGGAAAATTTAGCTTACAATTTACATGATTACGTGCCCAAATCTTGTGAATAAGCATAATTTGCTTTTTTAAATTAAAATATGTATACAAAATTTAGAATGTATATCACTATATATATATATATATATATGATTAATCTAAAATGATTTTTTTTTTAATTTCTTTTATGAAACTAAGCATTTTTTGATTTCTCAAATCAAATTTTGAAAATATCTGAAATATTTATTCAAAGTTTTAAGTACCTGAAAAACCTTATTTTTTATTCAAAAGTTAAGTTTTTCATTGCGAATATTTTGCTATTCCAGTTTTTATATATAAGTTGCATTGACGTTCTTATTTTTATTGCTTACTACACATAAAGGTAAAAGCCATGTTTCTGTAAAATAAAATATATTCTGTGAGTTCAAAGTAATTTCACATCAGAAGTACTGTGAGGAAGTGATAGTGTTAAGTATTTCAGAATGTTAACTACACCGAATTTCCAATATTTTAATATGGATGTAATTTTTTTATATGTATATTTCGTTAGATTTGGAAAGAAAAACTATATGTCTAAACAATGAAGATATGATTGTCTTTAAACTGTGTTTTTTTATTTCAGTGATGGTCTACTTTGATTCATAATCCAGTTTTTATATATAAGTTGCATTGACGTTCTTATTTTTATTGCTTACTACACATAAAGGCAAAAGCCATGTTTCTGTAAAATAAAATATATTCTGTGAGAAAGTGATAGTGTTAAGTATTTCAGAATGTTAACTACACCGAATTTCCAATATTTTAATATGGATGTAATTTCTTTTTATATGTATATTTCGTTAGATCTGGAAAGAAATCTCATCGCTAATAAATGTTTAAGTAAGTACATAGGTAGCAAATCTAAAACAGATGTATATATCAGATAATTAAAATCACAATAGCATGTTAAAAAGTAGTGTAAAATATTTTTTTCAAGAGATAATATTAACCAGATATCTAAAACAATACATCAGCTATAAAGTTTACATAGCAAATACCAATTTTCAGTTTGCCTATAAAGTAATTATATAAAAATCGCACCATCAAGGAGTGAGCAGACTATTATTATAACTCCTTGTAATGTGTGTGGTTTCACCCGAATATCGGGCGATATCTGACTATCGAAGAAGAGCGAACGAAGTAAGGGTCACTCCTGTTTTTGTGTGAAAAGGGACCGCTTTTTACTAGAGTGAAATATTGCTCCTTCGAGGTTGTTGCCATTTTGGCATTAGAGAGAGGTGGGATATCACTCCTTTAGAGTCGGATAGGACTCTTTCGAATTTAGAGAAATATTGTTGCGTGCGTATAATTCGTAATAGAATGAATGCACACGCGTTATAGATTGAATGCAAAATATTAATAAAATTTATTCTTAGCATGAGAAATACAACAAAATGCTGAAATTTTCCCTCAAAGATATTCGTACAATATCGCAGTATCACGCAATAATCAATAATAACCAGTAGCTATATTTTAAACCACTAAAATACTAAATAGAACGCAATCCAAAGCGCAGAGAAAGCTAATCCGATCTCACCGCGAATTCGCTACAATCAACAAACAACAACTCAGTAAACAACTGAACTGAGATGTTTTTCTCCGGCTTTTTAAAGCTTTTTAATCAGTCACAAGAAACTTCTGGTAGTTTCCGTTTTATCAAGATTTCTGGGAAGCAAAACTGTAGAATTACGATATATCTATTTATTAAATGTTAAATGCGCGTGCTCCTGTATTTTTACTTTTCCCGCTTAGTTTTCTCTTAAAAGAAGTCTCGTGCTGCATTGCACGGGGATATAAAACAATTTCAATTATAATTCTACTAAAAAAAATAGCTAACTAAATACAAAATCCGTAACAATATGTCTCCTATGCAGTAAGAATAACTATTTTTTATTTATAATTTGTGAAGTCAGTTTGTAAAGAAGCATTTAGTTTTAAATTAATCAATTTTGTTTAGTTACTCATCTTTTCTATCTTCTGTCATTTCCATTTCCTGCCAGAATGGTATTTCAGTTTCGCGTGTTATGCAAAGTAGGGTAGAGAAATACTATTTAAGCTGGTGGCTGAGTTAAGACTATTCTGTCGTTCGACCACATTGTTTCGCTGTTTTTTCAGCTGGCTATTTTACAGCCGTGCACGTCACGCAAAAAAATCGTCCAAATGGATTCGAGAACAGTGAAAATGGATATTTCCGTTGAAATATGATATCTGAAACTTTTCACGATTACAACACTATCTTAGTACAAGGAAGTAAAAAGGAGCATAAGAAATAGATTTTTAGAAAGGGGGGGACGAAAATCTGCATGGCCGATGTTTATATTTCTAATGCCAATATAAATGGCAGCTACGAAAAGCGTGTAAATCCACGTGTATTCAAGTACGTGTGTGATACACCCATGCGCCATGCGTGGTTTTGCTATTCTCGCGTGTATATTCAAAAATAAGACAAAAAATACAAAATTCTACCGAACACTGAAATCTGGAGTGCGGATATTCAGAAAGTACCTAAATTTCTTTCCTCTGCAACTTGCAATCCTTATAAAAGCTATTTTATTACCATCTGTTAGCATATCCATCATTTGTCCTTGACATGATTATCGAATTTTCTATACCGCATTTTCGTGAACAGATCTAAAACTTTCCCAGTATAGCTGGAGATAAGAAAAAAAATGCACCTCGCATTAAGTTACATGCTCCCTATCATTCATGGTCTTAGGTAAATTAATATTTTTTTCACATATTTCTCATCTTCTTTCCCTCTTTTCCTTGGGATCTGACAGCGGATCGAATTTCGTTGCGCAATAGCGGTCGTGGAAATTTGGCAGCTCACTGTTAAGTGTCAAATTACATGCATTTTTGATAGGCTTAGCTTCACATTTGTTTCCTTTTTAAGCTTAAATTTTATTTTAGGTGATAACAGAATTTAATTGATTGGATGTAATCGAGCGTCCAAAGATGCGGGAAGATATGAAATAGATATTTAGGTCCATTTGAATGTTAGAATTAATTGCTTTTGGTAATACCTCTAGAATGATTCGATTTATATTGTATAATCGATATCAGACATTAAGAAGCTGATACCGGCAGGCTGCCATTTCCTTTTTATACTCATACTGCTGTGAAAATTTCGAAGATCCATGAATAACAGAGCGGTTATGAGGCTGATCTTTCGTGTTATTAAGAACAAGAACCCTCGTACAACTTTAAACTTCCTAGAAACTTAGCCTACTAGCGGCTTACTGTTGATTAAACGATAGCAAAAAAAATTCCAATAACGCATATTTGTATGTTTTACGCATTAAATATGTATTCTCAGAATAAAGTAAATAGGAGAAAAGAAAAAATATTTAAAAATGTCATTGGAAAGAGAAAACAGATCTGCAATACTGTAATACTTTTACTGATATCTGTGTTTATGACCTCTGATTGCAAGGTGTATGGGAGATTATCTTGAGAGTCAATATTGTCTTATACGATACAAATTGAACTGCTGTAAATGTTATACGTATTACTGATATTAAACACCGGAAATAAACAGTTTTTCGCCATAGATTTGTGTTTAATATTTTATGCTAGTAAATTTCAAGGTAGTTTGTTTGGGTTACTGCAAAGCACCTAGGGCTATTGCCCAAGGGGAATTATGCCTTCGTTGAAGACTTCCCTCCCCTTGGGCAAAAAAAATTGGTTGGTATCCGTGTTACGCATGGAGAAACCCACGAAAAAGGTCCATGCAACAAAGCCCTTTCGCTTGGAATCGAACCCAGGTCGAAATACCAATGTTCAGCGATTTTACCGCTGATGGGCCAATTTTAAAATAATCTAGTATCTGCTTATATTTTGCATTTCATAATACATCCAATTTTTTTCTGTAGTTCTAGACTAAGCGTTTTTTCTGCAGACGTTTCTAAGTTTCTTGAGGCTGCAAGAATTTCCAGTATACTTAAATTTTCTCAAATTATCATGCAGTATTACAATATCACAGTAGTTATCTTTTAACTACTCAAATATCCAATAGAACGTAATTCAAAACAGCTAAAGAACGCTAATCCGCGAATTCGCTACAATCAACAAGAGCAGTTTTCTAAACAACAACAAACTAAGCAACTACTACAAACTGAGATGTTTT